ACTGCAACTGTTATGGATAGGCATGTTGATTAACACCAGATGCACGACGTGTTCGTTACGTCACTTGATATTATTATAATTGTAATTTTTTTTTAAATAAAACCAACCTAAAAAATTCATAGAATTACATCTATTTAGGAAATGAAACTGTTTTTTTCGGATTTAAATCGCGTATATTTGTTTTTTCAAACAAACCGACGTTTCGGGCCCTGTACAGGTCCCATCCGATTTAAATCCGGAAAAACAGTTTCATTTCCTATGTGTAACAATCGCGAAAACCTAAGAACTCGATAATTACATCTATTTGTCAAATATTATTGAAATCGGTTAACGGAAAGTGCGCGAGACCGAATTCATCCCTAGTTTGCCACCCTTAGAGGTGAAATATTTTCTTCAAATTTAAATGGGACCATTACTGAAGCAACCTCTTTCCAACAAAAAAGAATCATCAAAATCGGTTTACAAACAATTGTTGCGGAGTTTCGCTTCGTGAGAATCTTAGATAGGTATATGTATAACATAGGAGTGGATCCCAAGCCTACCTCTAGTCCCCCAATTATAGAAAGGGAATGGTAGAACGTTTCGATGCAATGAAAAGACTCTGTAGAATACGCATAAAATATTAAAATTAATCGGTCATTCTCGGACTAGTGTTCACTACCTCATGGTCATGGCAATTTTTATTATTTAAATATTCAAGCATATTATCGTGTAATATGAAATAATATTTCACAATACAATACTGGAATATTAAATAATATTACACAATCGAATACTTAAATAATAAAAGTTGTCACGGAAATTAAGTAGTGAATACTAGTCCTAAATAACATAAAGGTAACTATTACAAAAACCACCACCAAAAATATATTAGACACCCATTTCGCCTCTCTATGGCGCTTCATCACGAGTTGTTGATTGCTCGTCACTCGAGCGAAGAAGCGTGAAAAAAAATTGCAGCTATTTTGTACGATTTCACTTTCACTGGGTTGTCGGAGTAGCAAGATGGTTTTCTTCCATTTTACAATACGTCACAAGGGCGGCAAGTAGGCAATTACGAACTCAATTAATGGGCCGAACGTTTGCGATTGCCGTTCCGTCCGTGTGGCACACGTTTTTCATCATATTTACGAGGAAGTTGAAAAAAAGGGAAATTAGACTTAAATACATTACATTATAGTTTATTCAATTAAAAATCTTTTAAGATTCTTTTGAGTTTGTTGAATGTAAGGATTTTTTTTATAACATCAAGTGACGGGACGAACAAGTCGTAAGCTACACGCCAGTCCATAACAGTTACAGTGCCACTCAGAGCTTTAGATTGCAAAGCTCTGAGAGACACTACCACTGCGCCCGTCACCCAGAGACATAAGTTCACAAGTCCCAAGTGCCTGTAATTTCATCAGCACCCTTACCCTTCAAAACTGGAACACAGGATGTTTTACTTCCATGATATGCGATTATTTTCTGTATAATTATTAATTTAATAACGTTGCTGATCGCGCGCATTGCCCCTCTTTTTTTTTATTGCAATTACATGGTAGGCCTTTGGACAGTACGGTGCCTTATATATTTTACAACAATCTACCTTAACCGAACCTATCCCATATCTACGTAACTTTTGTTTATAATGCCCCCCCCCCCCCCCCCCATTAACCTCTCGGTTATGCGGGAAGGGTACTATGACCTGTGGGAGCGAACCCGCACAGGGACCATCTAAGTCAGGCTCTAACCCCAGATCAGCCCGTTGGCACGGACTTCATCTGGTTCTTTGTAAGGCTAGTGCCTTAGGTGAGCCTCCGCACGACTGACGCTTGCCACTGCCAAACCGTCGACTCTAAAGTCAACTACCAAATCTCCTCATTGGTGGCGGAGCTATAAGGCATGCTCACTTTCCGACGCCGCAAAAAAACGACGTCTCTCCAGTTCCCAATAACCTAAGTGGCTGGAGGGACCGCAGGATATCTAGCTTATCCTCTACTAGCTCTCCGGGCTAGTGCCGGAGATGCCAGTCGCAGTGTCCTGCGACAATGTCCGGACATAGCTTCCAACTTAAAGGGCAACTCACGTGCCCCGCACGTCTCCTCGCTTCAGGCCCTCAACTAGACCGCCACTAAGACGAGCTGCGCACAAGATTGACGCCCCGGCCACACACCACCGGGGCAAAAAAACATGTCCATCTCTGCAGCTAACCGCAAACTCCAGCGAGTCCATACCCAAGTCCGGGTCCACCGCCCGCAAAGGCGAATCACTAGCGGGTGGCCTGGCCCGGACGTTCGCTGTACCCTGGTCTTGCCGTCGAACCCATAGTCTCTCCGGAAAACCCCATCTCTTGGGTCGGTAGATAGGGACAACCTCAACCGAACAGTGTACTCTGGGAAACGTACAAATGCCATCAAACATACATTACTACGAACATTCTAATAGTAACTAAGATAAATAATAGTGACTTAGAAATAATAACGAAAGCCAGTACAATGATCGATAATAAAAACACAGTAGAATTTCGACCGCTCGGTAACTTGACCTGTGACTCAGTTGGTAAGAGCAATGCGGTGCAGCATGGTCGTGGGTTCAAGTCCCACCGGGTCGAAGAAATTTTCCAATGTTTTCAATCTTTATTAAAAATCTCAATAATACATGAAAAAAATAATTAAAAACATTACCAAGTTCCAATTCAGCCTCAGCATCCTCGGAAATCGTCTCCATGGCCCTTTCAGAGCATGTCTCTAAGTGCGCGAGCGTGCTACGTGCGCGCGAAGCACGCCGCGCGCACTCGCTGCACGTGCCGAGCAATATGACTGGGTTAACACGTCTTGGTTTCTGAACACTTTATAGTGTCCCCACTGGTCTTCTCACAACAATTGGTTAACTCTATAATGTCAATGGTTCGCACAATCACCGCATTTTAATCTCTATTCACACCCAAATACAAATAAAAATCCTTTACAATTTCTATCTCACTACGAACACAATATAGCACCAACACTTGATTATGTATTTTCCTGTTTTAACACAAATTTTTACAATTTCACCGGTTTACCATTTATCTTCCTACGGTTTAACAATCGAGATAAGATAATTTACGAATACTAAATGGTTGTTATGGCCGCAGTTTAAGATATTTGTGGTTTCCACGCACGTAGAGCTCTCAGCTGTTATTTCGGAAACGAAGCTCTGATTTATCATCGCGCTTCTGATGAAACACAGACTTAACAGCAAAAAAATAGTGGCTTAATAATAGCAAGGCAAATGTGAAATGCGAATTTACACGGAGAAACAAAATACACTATTATGCGTTCCTGCACTTTTTTTTAAAGAGGACGCTTTTTTAAATAAGTAAATTATTATGAGTATATAATCGTGAAATATTAAATAATTATACGTGATAATATTCTGGAATATTTATGTTTAAGCTGGTTTCAGAGCACTGCGGACCGTCCGCGCGGAGCACCGGGGTGGAGTAACACGTGTGGCGTTACAATATCGTTTTACAGTCACGCGGATTTCTCCGTACGGAACACGCACCGCGTGAATCTGCACCGGCCAACCGTGCGTTCATTGTAGGCTACCGTCTTCCGTGAATAACGTCACTAAATTAAATACTCGATTCAGAGCATTGCGGATTCTACACATGCGGATGGCCCGGTCACACTCGCTCTCGCTCGCCCGTTCACAGCTGTGAAACCAGTCTTACGCGTTACCCATTTAGTTCGTCTATTGACTATTGTTTAACTTGACGCATTTCTTGTATTTATTTGTTGTATTAACTACTTAAGTACCAATTTCAGCCGCCCAATATTCACGCCTAACTTCACACTGCCACCTCAACGTAAGTTATAAAAGAACCGCGGCAAAGGCGGAGCAGCTCAGTTTTGATCCAGCCGTGCACCCCTGAATGTAAATTTTAGACAACACGTTATCAAATAAATTGAAGTGATATTGAGATCGGATTTTATTTACCCAATCACATTTAAATAAATAAATTGCCACCGAAGTTATGTAGAGAAAACTAATCTGAAAATTACCCATTTGCACTTGCTCTTTCTTTTGTTAACGCACACAGTTATCACCGCTTAGAGCGATCCATTTAAATATTGTTATTTTTGTACCAAAGTAAAATTTGGTGAGTTATTAAAAGTCATGGACCAAACCTAAACCTGTTACCTAATTTTTTTTTTTACGATACCAACTGGTGGGACGAACAAGTCGTGCGCCTGATGGTAAGCGATACGCCTGTCCATAACAATTACATTGCCACTATAAGCCTTCAAACACAAAGATCTGATTGGCACCACAGCTGCGCCCGTTACCCTGAGACATAAGTTAACAAGTCCCAAGTGCCTGTAATTTCACCAGCACCCTTACCCTTCAAAACCGGAAAACAGGATGTTTCACTTCCATAGTATGCAATTATTTTCTGTATAACTATGATGTACGAGCAGTACATTAGGCATGTCATAATTTAACGCATTTACGCGCTTACATATTATGTACATAATTCTATTACACGTGTATTTTCAGTACAATAAAAGCCTTCGGACAGTACGGTGCCTTATATATTTTACAACAACCTACGTCAACCGAATAGCCCCACATCATTCTACATAAGTGTTGTTAATAGTGTCCCTCCCTGTCAACATATGCGGGAAGGGCACTATGACCTGCGCGCGCACTGGAACCTTACAAGTTCAGGTTCTAACCCCAGACCAACCGGTGTACAAGGTTGTCACAGGCATCTGTCACTTGACTTCATCCGGTTTTCGAGAGGCTAGTGCCTCGGGTGAGCAGAGGCACTAGCTTCGAACACAAGGAGCTCTACTATGTAGTGTTATGAGGTTGTTAAACAACAACTTTTCTTCTATGACTTTATAAAAAACGTAATAAACTACCAAAGATAAACTTTTAAGTTTTTATTGTAGCTACTGTCTGACACATTTTAGATCTGAATTTGGTAGGATAAGTTCAAACGTGCAAGCGTCCTTCGCAACGACTCCACCCCCGTCCTGCACAGAGTTATTACCGTTTAGAGCGATCTATTTAAATCTATTCATTTTTACATTAAATAAAATGTAATAAATTATTAGTGATGGAACAAGTTTGTTGTTCATGTTGTTGGTAATATAGTGCTGCATAGTTGTTAGTATTTTACCAATTATCCTATGGAGAAGACAATGTCTTAATGATTAATAAATAGTATTTAGTTTATTTGGAAATCACTACTAAATAAATTACGTGACATCGTGACACTGTTGATTGCTCAAATAGAGCTCCTTCACTTCACTTATTAGAACAAAGCGGCTTCGTGTACAATGTCGAGGAATTATCACGTGCAAAGTCACATGGCGGAGTTAATTGCCAGGTAAATGCTTTATTTTTCCTATGAAAGAAATCTTAATACAGTCACGTGGCAACATTTTGTATAGTACTACAAGTTTTTTCATCTCCACCTCACCTCGGAGAGTGATGATGAGGTCAATGATGCAGCAGGCACACCTATATAACGCCTATTCACTCTCACCTTGAAAAGGCCTAAGTTACAATGTTCAGGGAACAAGTCTACAGGCAGGAATTCCACTCCAATACCGTACGCAACATAAATATAAAAGCGTATCTCTTCATGTAAATCCTACAAATATCAATTTACGAATATCCTAGGATTATCAGTTAGTAGCAGCAGAGATCCTTGTGAAAGAGATCGTTCAGGGAAGTACAGCCAGCCACCTTACCTATTTCTGCCGCCAAGCAGTTATGAAAAGGGTAAGGGTGCTGGTGAAATTACAGGCATATGGGACTTGTCAACTCATGTCTCAAGGTGACGGGCGCAGAGGTAGTGCCCCTCAGATCTTTCCGATTTTAAGCTCTGTGTTTGTTTAAGACGTGTCCCTTACCACCAGGTGAACGACTTGTTCGTCCCGTCCAGTTGTATCTTAAAAAAAGTCCTTGTGAAGGGTTCGTCCAGGGAAGTACTGTGTTTTGAAAATACTGATTTAGGACCTAATCTTTATATTTGTTATGATACTTGAAAAGCCTAGCAGCCAGTATAGGAACAAAATTTTGTATTGCAAATTTAACATCCCCTTTCCTGACATAGTTTTTTTTACGATACCTAGTGACGGGGCAAACAAGTTCTTCGCTTGTTAGTAAGCGACACGCCTGTCCACAGCAGTTGCAGTATCACTCAGTGCTTTAAATCGCAAAGATCTGCGACTACTTCCGTCAACCTGAGACATTTTTTTTATGTAAAGTAGGAGGCAAACGAGCAGACGAGCCACTTGATAGGAGATGGTCATCGTTGTCCATGGACATTTGCAATATCAGATGAGCTGCCTAAGCGTCGCCAGCCTTTGAGAGCCCTGTAAACACGCTTTTTGAAAAATCCCATGTCATAATGCAAAGGAAATACTCCAGGAAGAAGATCATAAGTTGACAAGTCCCATGTGCCTATAATTCACCAGCGCCCTTAGAGTTGCTACGTCATATTCGTATCTCTTGGATTCGGATCCAAGAAATGACAGTCCGAAAGGTTAGAAGTATCGGAAGTGTAATTTTATCTCTAGCCGTACAAGCACAAGCGACATAAATTTATTTATTTAAATGTGACCGGGTAAATAAAATCCGATCTCAATTTCACTCCACTTTATTTGATAACGTATTCAGACTGACAAATTTACGAGTATTCTCTAAAAGTTACATTCATGGGCATACTGCTGTATCAAGACTAAGCAGTGCTCTTTTATAACTTACGTTAAGGTGGTAGTATGAAGTTAGACGTATATCATTGGGTGGTTCAAGATGGTACAGGGTCAAGAGCACGTCAAGCCTGACACTTAAGATTTAAATCCAAGTCTATGCCGCTTACGATAAGATTAATCCAAAGTACAAAGTGTCAAGCTTGACGTGCTCTTGACTGTGCTAAAGTAGTCAATACAACTTCTAAATAAATATATCGTGACATTTGGAGTGACTCCGAGTTTTCTAGAGATCTATAGTCTCGAATTCGGAAAAAATACGAATGGGATACAGTGCACAAACGCGTTTACCCTTCAAAACCGAAACGCACTAATGCCCACATTACTGCTTGGCGGCAGAAATAGGTACATTGCTTCCCAGGACGAATTTCAGAAGGACCTCGACTGCTGCTACAACATTCGTTAAATGAGTTTTCATCTGTAGCCGATAACGTTTCAAATGTGTTACGAAATTAGAAAGAACTAATTACTTCTTCTCATAACATGTATGTTAACTTCAAAATCAATGCTACTACCAATATTTCAGGGTTCTAATGTATCTGGACAGCCTTTACTATGAACTCATGTTTATTCTATTCTTATTGATACTTAGAGTACAGTGAGGAAGAAAATTTTATCCATCGTCCTTAGTAAATTTAAGGTGAAATCGCAAATGTTCAAAAAATATTATTTATTATAATTATCACATAATAATAATAGACAGCCTATTAATAGGTCCCACTGCTGGACAGAGGCCTCTTCTCACGTCGTTGGTCCGTTGCGGACTGGGAAATTCACACACAGAATTAAACTGCTTTGCAGATGTGTGTAGCTTTCCTCGCAATGTTTTCCTTCACCGAAAAGCTCAGAAGTGTAAGCCCGGATCCGAAACCACGATACTCTGCTTCAAAGGCACCGTTAGGCTAAAACGGCTATATAATATACATATATAAATTGTAGTAATAAGGTAGTTTTTTTTTAATACGTTTCGATATTTTTCATGAATTTGAACACTGATATCGTTTTGTTGTCGACTGTACATTAAGTGTAGAAAAATAAATAATGTTAGAAATTATCATAATTGTTTCATGACTGTAGCAAAGCGAAAATAAAACATAATATTTAACTTACAAATGAGTCTATTTCAAGTTCGAGTACTACTGCGATGGCCCCAATGAATAAACGTGTCGACAACACATGTTTATTCGGTGGGGCTATCGATTGTCTAAATCCGAAACTTCGGAACTATTCGGGTCTTACGGAAATTGACGAATTTTAATGTACTATAACGCACACACACTCAATATAGCCCCGCACTAGGGAAACCCTGTGACGCGGGTGCCATGGACACACACATAGACAACCACAAATTACACCCAAACTCACGAGAGTAATAAATGTAGGCCATACAAATATTTCTTCCGGCCCGAGAAACGAACCTGGGTCCTCAGCGTGGTAGTCGTTAATACCGTTCGGCCACAGGGGCAGCTAAAACTTAGCTCCGCTAACCCTTTTACACCGGAACTGTGCTAAGCGAGGCTAGGAAAATGAAGTAATCGTATTGGTGGATTTTTTCCTCACACACTGCTTCACTACGTCGCACATCTGTGGTAGAAAGGCAGCCCTAATGTGAAGAAAACATTCCACCTCTAAGGGTGGTAAACTAGGGGATGAATCCACGGATTTTTGTGGTCGGTTCTTTTTAATATTCTGTACTGAGATTATTTGATATTATAATAGCTCGCTCTCAGTTTGTGACTATAATTGAATAAATCTTAGTTGTCATTGTTCATACCGAGATCAAATTTTATTTGTTAGATAATTACGTTACCACACTATAAATACACACAGAGGGTATATTCATATTTTATATATATATTTTTGTTATATTTATGTAGATTTAATATAATATAACACACACAGCAGTAACACAATGCACAAAATACACTTACATAGACAAATATTTAAGTAGGTAGTTTATTTTATTTTGCGACACACACGTCAGTCACTCATCTCGGATCAGGGCTCATTGAAAACCAGCGCCACAGTCAATTCTGGCTGTGGTAAAAGCTGAATGTAGTCCTTTTGCGTACGCCACGACTGCACAAATGACTGAACAATTTGTTGTTATTTTGTTTTTTTTTTTTTTCCTTTTTTGTTTGTTTTGATAATTTTAATGTTTTCTTTTTTCATTTGTTTGTTTTACGTATGTCTATTTTGTTTATTAATTATTATTACTGTTACTATTTTTAATTTTAATGTTCATCGTACTGTGTTATAATTCTTTTTTTTTTGTATCATGTGTTGTGGCGTCGCAATAAATGTCTATTCTATTCTATTCTATTCTATTCTAAATAAACTAAAAGAAAAATTCCTTTGATCTGGTGGGACTCTAACCAGCGATTTTTTGACCTAACCTACAGAGCTACGCAACGTTACATTATTGAAACTTAATAGTCTGCATATAAGGTTAAAATTCAGTTACACAGTGACTCTGTATTTGAAATATCAGTTGTATTTTTTTAATACTTGTGTATGTCGATATTAACCGTGACCGTACCAAACTAATCAATTAAAAATGAACATTAACTGTTTATTCATAGGGTTAATCTTTGAAGAGACGTTTTATTCGAATAGTAATAGCAAAAGGT